CCACTATGCTGGCACACACCTATTGAAGCAGTTCACATTTAAGACCAGCCGGGGACCGGGGACCGGGGAGATGGCTCAGTGGAATAAGCACTTCCCTGGCAAGTGCAAGAACCTGAGCTCAATCCCTGGTTTCGCAAAAAAAAAAAAAAAAAAGACCAGCCTTGTAAGATCCTACCTCAAAATAAAATAAAAAGGGCTGGGGAAGGAGTTCAGTGTTCTCTGGGTTCAAGCCTCAGTACTACGAAATAAAAAGTCTTCCCACACACACCTTTTCAAGTCTAAAAGTTCTTAAAAGTAGTGAGAATCTACCATGGACACAAATCCACAATAGCCAAAGGGTTAAGCTTCAAATATTAGGGCAATAAAAATTTAGCGTAAAGACAAACAAACTGCCAGGTGTGGTGGAACACACCTGTCATGACAGCACTCCAGAGACTGAGGCAGGAAGATCACTGAGTTCAAGGCCAGCCTGGGCTACAGAGTGAGCTCAAGGCCAGCCTGGGCTACACGGTGTGAGTGTGTCCAAGCAAAAGTGCACGAATTATCATGCGTGAAGTCCCTGCTGGGTTCAATCCCCAGCACTGCACACAAAAAAATTACTTTACATGAATTACTCCTGATGACGAACTACAAAAAACAAAGCTTCTCAGATTACCTTTCTCAGCCAACATTTATATTTTCCTCCAAGTCTGTTTAAACAGTTTGGCTTGAAAAGAAAAACCAAGTGCACTTAATATTACAGATCATGCCAAGATACAGCTGAATCCCTACAAATGAACTGGCAAGTTCCCACATGCCCCTGAGCTCAAAAATCTGAATTACACAATGTTTTACAAGAACTACCTAGAATTATGTTTCTAAATGTTCCTACTCTCCATTATGATTACGTAAGCAAACTACTTAAATAATCTAATTCAAAGCAGGGCATAGTGCACAGGTCTGTAATCACAGCACTTGGGAGGCTGAGACAGGACAATCATTGCAAGTTCAGACCAGACTGGACTACAAAGTTAGCTCAAGGCCAGTCTGAACTACACAGTAAGGCCTTATCTAAAAAAAAAAAAATCATCTAATTCAATAACTTAACAGTTCATTTCTCTACTTCCTTCTCTATTTTTCCTAATAGTTTGTCTCTTGCGAAAACATTTCTAGTCACTTAAGTGTCTAGTTTCAACGCAGAAAGTTTCACACCAGAAATCTGAACGTTTTACATAAAAAGCAGGTCCAAATATGGTATGCATGAATGTGTCTACTGTATTTCACACATCACATGTTCAGTTTATGCAAACTGATCCATGATCTTGAACTTTTAGAATATCCTGGAAGTACTATCAATTCTCTGCACCTTTTCATTTAATGACTTTTTCTAGCTATAATTTTGTGACTATCTTTTGGGACAAGATAATACAAAAGAATTGATGCATTAAGTTTCTATAGTACAGGCCATATTAAACAATACTCAAATATACATACAACTAATTTTAAAGTTAAAAGGCATATTATATGGCAATTCCTTCAATCATTTTTTTTTAGGGGGGAGCTGATGCTGTAATTGAAACATGCAGACTTATCAATAGGTCCTCTACCACTGAGTTACTCCTAGCTCTACCTCAATAATTCTGTCTTTGGTTTGTGTCAAACAGTATTCTTAACTCCACTTCCTAAGTCCTATAGCTCCTTTAATGAGAAGCCAAAGGTATACAAAGTTGATTCGCACACCCCTCTAATCCAAGCACTGAGGATCAAGAGGATCCTCTTGCTGAGGCAAGAGGATCACGAGTTGGAGGCCAACATGTACTACACAATAACTTCAAGGCCAGCCTGAACTACTTAACAAGACCCTGCCTCAAAAAAACCAAATAACCAAAAAAAAAAAAAAAAACCCTCTAAAATATAGCTTAACTCAAAACGTCAAATGTTTAACTCCAAAATAACTGATCAGCTAAGTCCATTAACTAGTGACTGAACAGAAGAAAGACAGCCAGTTTTCCTTCTCTTTTACTTTTTTCTTTTTTTGGAACAGGGAATCAAATTCCCTTGGCCCCAAGACTGCCAGTTTTATAGCTCTGAATGAAGTCCACAAGATTTTATATTAAAATATTTCTCATCACATTATTAATGCAATTTTCCTCAAAGTTTTCTGAGACAAAAACTCAAAATATTTAATTCTGGAAAGTATTCTTAAATTGTGCTCTGCAATATTCTTGGTAAGGGAGAACAATTACACTATTACTGCTGGTACTCAGTAAAATGTTATCAGTAGCACAGTCTCCGGGTACAATATGTTTGCTGACAATACAGACCTGGTACTCTTAACAGCCTGTAACACTTGTAATAATTGCTTCATAACACATTAAGAGGTACTGAGAAAGTGACCCCACCAAAAAATCAGATTTACTGATAGTGCAAACAAAGCTAACAGCATACTACCCTATGATCAGATATGTAAATAACCAAGCTACTCACGGGTCTTGCCTGTGGACTCAAATAAGGTTCAAAATCATCATCATTTAATCCATCCTTTTGATGTACGGATCCATTTTGTACTAAAGGAAAAAACTCAAATTAACAGTATACCAACCCTAAATTCAGACAAATACATCCTAACCGGAGAAAAACCTCACTAGTTTAAAAAGCAGGATAAGTATAAACTTCAAAAGGCTAAAGATGAAAGTGAAGGCTAGAGCAACATTCATCCGTGAAAATGTTTCCCTCCACCCAGAACACGATGATCTAAAAAGGTCATTTTATTGGCTCCTCTAGATTTCCATTCCCTCCCGCTTCCCCTCCCCCATCGCAAGTGAGTTACTTCCAGAAAGTGATCCACGAGGATGAAAAACAAAGGCCTTCTAAGACCTACAGGAAACTAAGGACCTGGAGCATTTCAAAACCGAATCCACCCCCACCCTTAAAGAATTAGCCCTTGTTAGCTAAAAAGCTGTTAGCCAGCTGCAAGAACACACCGAAAGGGTCAAACACTCAAGCGAGAGGCACCTGCGGGCTGAGCGGCTCCCGAAAGGTCCCCTCCCTGGCACTTCCCGCAGACCCCACCCTCGTCCCCTCCCGGAGGGCCCCGGGCACCGGCGGAGCGGGGCTTACCTTTGTTCCCTTGACCTTTAGGTCTCTGCGGGCCAAGGCAACGTCGCCGAGCAGCAAGTTGTCCGGGAAGAAATGGAAAAGGGAAAAGACAAATGAAAGCAAGGCCCGAGAAGGAAATAAAGGACCAGGCCTAAGGGGAGGCGTCAGGAATGGTGGTGAGGGGGAGGCTGGAAGCGGGAGGCGGAGGAAAGCGACAGGCCGGCAGGCCCGGGGGGGAAAAAAAGCAAGGGACGTGCCGGCAGCGACGAGGGAGCCGGGGCTCCCAGGAAAGGGAAGGAAACGAGGGAGAAAACCAGGCCCGCGGAAGGGAAGGAGCGCGGCGCGGCGCGGACGGTGGGCTCCAGAGCCTGGGAGATGCGGGCCCGGGTGGAGGTGTGGGGTGCGGCTGGCCGGCGAGGCCCGAAACCCGGCCCGAGGGAGGCGCTGCCGCGGCTCGGCCCAACCGGGGGCGGCGGGCCCAGGCCTAGTCGGGCTCGGTCTCGCCTCACACAATGGCCGAGGCATGCGGGTTGGGCCTGTACCTGCTCCAAGAGGCTGCTGGCCGACATAGCTCTCGGATCCTGACGGGTAGCGGCGGCGGTAGACTCTCTTCAGGGCGGCGGCGGCGGCGGCAGACGAGCCCTGGTGGTGGGAGCGAGTGGCGCGGTGGCGGCTTTTGTCCCTGACACTCGGAGCCTCGGCGGACGCAGCGGAGACACAGCGCGCGGCTCGGGCTCCGGCTCCGACTCAGACTCGGCGACGCTCTAGCCAGAGAGCTCAACGCCCGTCTCTATGCTTTTACGCGCGCGCCCGCCCCTCGCAGCCGGAATAAGGGCGCCGAGCGGCAAAGGCAGACCGCGCGCGTAGCGCGAGCGCTGACTCTCACATTCACTCACCCACGCGGAAGGGGCCCGGCGCGAAGCACCGCGGGAAGGCGGGGGCGGGGCCGCGGCGCCCTCTGGTGGGTCGGAGGAGCGGAAGCGGCGCGCGCGCGCGGCCTTCCCGCCCCCACCGCCTGGCGACTGGGGCCTAGGAGGGCGCGGGCGGCGGGGGTCTTAGCTCGAGGTTTTGACTTAACGCCTGGAGAGAAGAACTGGAGCCTGAGAAAATCCACAAAATCCTGTTCCTCAGTAAGACAGCTGCTTCTGCAGCCCGAGAGACCTGAAAATAACCCTGCCTCCCAGCTGCCAATGACACTCCCACCCCCATTCGGAAGCGAACCCGAAGAGAGATCACGGAACCTCCAGGGAAACGAAAACGGTGGGAGCCCGGCGCGCGAGCATGGTCATCCTCTTTGAGAGGACTGCGAAGGGTGCCCGGCGAGCGGAGACAGACGCTACCACAACGGCGAAATACAGCTCCTCCTCAGAGGAAAGTCACTAGCTTCGGAATCAGAACCTCGTCTTTTTTTCAAGGAAGCCGCTGACCCCAGAATAATCTGTTAAAATTCTGAGCTTTATTTCCAAGAAAAGACACCTCACATAGCTGCACAAAATTTTATATGTACTGTATGTACCTCTTAGGAGTCTAGCGAAATAAGTCTGTGGGCCTTCTGGAAGGAACGTTATTGACCTAGGCGAGGAAGAAAATTAACACTACTGGGATACCTGCTGTGGGGCAGTCTTTGTTCTTAAGTGCTTCAAACAAATGAAAGGCTTTCAACAGCTGCGGAATACCTATCAGTCTCCATTTCATAACTGGGGAAACAGAGAGGTTAAGTAATTTGCCCAAGGTTACAAAGCTATTAAATAGGTGCGTCCTACCCTGCCATAACATAATGCTATAATCCACATGTCCTCGTAAGAGAATCCTTTATTTTGGAATCAGAAGCTAAGGGAGGTACAAAAGATGGACAGAAACACTTTTAATCAGAGGAAAACCCACCCCATGGAAGGTCATTTGATTCTAGAACCTATCTCCTGGTAGCTTTTGTTATTACAAATATTAGTAAATAGGTAATGCACTATTAATTGTCTAATAGGATGAGAGGTTCTGGTGGATTCAGGTGTAAAGAGCATCTAAAATTTTACATCAAAGTGGCGGCACACACATAATCTAGCACTCAGGAATCTGAGGCGAGAGGATTGCTGCAAGTTCGAAGCCATCCTACACAGTGAGTTCAAGCCCAGCCTGCACTATGTAGCAAGACCCTATCTCAGAAAAGAAAAAAAGTTTTGTGTCGTAATTTTGCACAAATTGCTCAAAGCACTCTTTTTCTGCCCATGATCACATTTATAGATGAATGAACAAGGTTAAGTAGCAGAGATGAAAGATTTTTGATGAAGAAAGTAAAATGTCAAGTGTCAAATCCCACTAGTAGATCCTACTAGTGCAATGAAAGAAACCTGGTAATACTTTTTATTAAAAATAATCACCCAGTTAACCCCATGGCCCAGATTTATATATAAACGGTGTAAGCAATTGCCTGCACATACCCTTGGAGGCAGCATGGTATTGAAAAAAGAGGATTAGACCAGGAGTCATATTCTGGGAAAGGAGAGTCTTAAGTACTGTCTTCCCCACCAGCTATGAGGAAAATTTAATACAAAGAATAATACCAAGCAAACAGGTTTGTTGACAAGTTTAAAAAAAAAAAAAGACATGAGACTATGTCTGGCACTATGTAGGTTTCATTCCTGTGATCTCATTAAGGGATATAAATAAAAATTCCTCCCAGTACAGAAAACATTTTCATGTGCAAGAAGTTTTAGCGAAAAAA